AGTGTCTTACTAAGGGTAAGGGGGGGGGGGTAAAAATGGCAACGTAGTAGGTTATGTACGAAGCAGGAAGAAGCTTGTTTGAAAACTCTAACCTGAGAGGAGTCTAAAAATAGTTAGATGTGTAACCTGTACCAATTTTAGAAAAATAAAAAGTAAAATTAACCAAAGATTTAAAAAACATTCGACCAACTCGCGCCGTCCTGTCGCTCATCTGGGAGGCTTTTCAAACCGCGCCCATAATCTGAGCCAATTGCTGCAGCCGTCTTGTAACCGAAAAATCTTCCTTTGTGAGTATTTTTTTTTTGGATTATACATTTAGAAATGGCATAACCTAACTATTTTGGCGATGTCACGTGTTTGGTTATGGATCTGCCAAATATCCCGCAGTGGGCAAGGAACGAACTATTTTTCAAATGTTGCCAAACCACGGGGGTGGTAGTTTACTTTTTACGCGGAATCGGATGTACTTATACAGTTGTCGACTGACAGAGGGGTTCTTTGGTAGGCCTTACCTGAAGTAACCTATACTCGGGGGCCAGTGTTACTTTATACTCTCGAAGTAAAAGTTTTGTTTCAATTATTCCAATCTCCGAGAATTTGTTTTCTCAATCGTGTAAAAAAACGTGTAATGAGATTTAAATTGAAGCGATAAATCTTATAAATTGTGGCGAGAAACATAACCTTTGAGGTCGAGAAAGTCAGAAGTTTATTTCAAAATGTCAGGAGTAGCACATATAACACCTGAGCATAAAAACTTAGTCCAGCACATTTCTAATGATAAAATAAACTACTCCACTGGACAGGAGCTCAACGATCGCCTGACTCAGGAAGAACAGTCAGCGGCTCAGATGAATCAGAACAAAAAGAAACTTGAGGGGGACATTTCTGCTCTGAAGAAGGAAATCGAGGACCTCCAACTGGCTCTCCAGAAGGTAAGAAACTTATCTAAAAGTAAAAGTCTTGTTGAGTTTTAGAAACCGTATGGTGAACGTTAATGTGTGTGTCTCAAATCTACAGATACGTTTCTGTGATGATGAGGTAGATTTAACCTAAAGTGGACACTGATTACAAATATTGGTATATATATATTGTTTCAATCTATTATATTGAATGCGTATACACGTGTTAAGCTAAACAGCGCAACAAAAAAGTTTATTTCTTTTAACTTGTGTTTTCAGCTGTTTTGATACTGTAAAGTTAACTAACAAACAACCTGAAAATGTCCTATATTTATTTATGACATTACCGTTTTCATAGTTTCTACAAATGCTAATATCTTCTTTTAGCGTTTCGACATTCCAACTAAATAACCGATATTTTGTTCGTTTTAGTTTTTATCCGTATATTTTTTTATCATTTGTGGTGAAGGCTCGGATTGGCAAGAGGTAAAATCTGTTAAAAGTTTTGTTTTGAACTGTGCAGTGATTTTTTTTTTTACTTTAGGCTGAGCAAGACAAGGCTACTAAAGATCACCAGATCCGAAACCTGAATGACGAAATCGCCCACCAGGATGAACTTATCAATAAATTAAATAAGGAAAAGAAGCATTTACAGGAAGTTAACCAGGTAAGTCTATACATTTACAGGAAGTTAACCAGGTAAGTCTATACATTTACAGGAAGTTAACCAGGTAAGTCTATACATTTTCATCGTGTTATCGTAAACAGTATAGTGCTTAAAGTGTAACTTTTTTTTTATCTTAAATATCAATTTTTCTGAATAGGAAATGTATTTTTTCTGGGTTTATTTATTGAAACTTTCAGCTTAAAGTTACATTTTCCCTTTATTTTTAACTAGAAAACATCTGAAGACCTGCAGGGTTCCGAAGATAAAGTGAACCACCTCAACAAAGTGAAGGCTAAACTGGAACAAACACTTGACGAGGTAGGCTTAGTTTCTTAATGGAGTAATGTAATTCATTTACATGTCTTTCGTTTTATATTTTTAAATAGATTTTGTTAGGCCTTGAATGAACGAGTATTTGTAACTTTAAGTGAACCGTATTATATTTTGCTTGTTCCCTAAAACTTCTATGTATAGGTAACTTCTAGTAATCTAAAAATTTTAATTAATTACGTAAATTCGAGAATAATAATGAGATGTTACTTGTGTAGTTGGAAGACAACCTTGAGCGAGAGAAGAAGCTGAGAGGTGATGTTGAGAAGAACAAGAGGAAAGTGGAAGGCGATCTTAAGCTCGCCCAGGAAGCTGTGGTCGACTTGGAGAAGAATAAGAAGGAAATGGAACAGGCTCTTCAAAGGTTCGTAGTATAAACTGTGTGTGTTGTAGTTGATAAAAATAATAATAATACCATAAATTGAAAATATAAACTCAAACCGGAATATATGTTTATACACTGATGTTTCTGTTTCGAAAGGAAAGAGAAAGAAATGGCTAGCATCGCTTCCAAGTTAGAAGATGAACAGAGCTTAGTCGCCAAGCTGCAGAAACAAATCAAGGAGCTTCAGGTATTTCTGTAAAGTATTATTTATTTTGATGCTGTGAAATGTATTCGTGTATTTATTTTAACATCACATTGACTGCTTAAACTATTCAAGGGTTGTTTATTTGCACGAAATTATATCTAGGTTTAGATTATACAGAAAGTTAAAAATGGCTAAACGTTCATAACGAAGTTTGTTGTCAAAATGTATGACTAAAATGAGCTCGTATCTAAATATGGCGAGTCGCGTGTAGGTGTGTCATAGGAGAAGAACGTCTTTCATCAGATAAGCTGCACGTTCACGCGCAACATCCATCAGGAATTCAACTTTTTCTCCAGCTTCTGATATTACTTTTTTTTTGCTGCAAACTATATTTAGTTGCACGCTCGTAAATCATCGGTTTCCATAAGTCTGAAAACCAAAAATAGTTTAAAGCTAACGAAAAAATAATCCTGCTTTAATCCTACTTCATTATTCAACTGTGTCACAGGCCATGGCCAAACCCAAAAAAACTTTAATACTTTATTTAAATTTTTGTTTTACTAGCACTTAAACACACACATCAATCGCAAATTTTACGAGCAAACAGATTATGTAAAAACTAAGATGTGGCAGAGAAAAATTGCTGGCGAAATGCCTCGAGGAACTTTTGAATTTAAACTTAACACCATATATTTATGGCACATACGACAGCTCTTACCTGGGCAGATTACCGTTCACGTGTGATCTTGTTGGCAGCTGTTGGTGACGCAGACTCGTCTATTAACAGATGGAAGTCTGAATGTTTTCGTGAAGTGTCAACGGACCGTGGAACTCCGTCCTAAATTGGCGATAGTCTGTGATGTGATGATTCACGCCACATCACTCAGGAATGTGACTTGTGTTGGTGTGTACTTTTAAGGAAACACAGTTTCTGTGGGTAAAATTACAAATGTGTATTTATCTCTTGGTATTGGGATTGGGTTTTCTAAATCTAGCCGATCAGTTCGAAAATTAAATTAAAATTTCTTCAGACCTGTGAGTATCTGGTACAACTGAATGAATCATTACTTAGTTTACTGATTAAAACTTATCAATATTTTATGAGGAAAAACCGTCTATACCACGTTGTCCAAAATTCAACTCGGCACTCCAAGTTATTATTTTAGTTCTCAAACAACAGTACCATTTTAAGCGCTAATGAGATGGTTGCTTTAGAAGCAAGGGATGTTGAGGACTTTTAAGTCATAATAAAACGTTATGATAAAATTCTTCAATACGAAATAATTATTCGAATGATGATTTTTTCAGAGGGGAGAGAGAGAGAGAGACGTATATTACCTTTTACTATAAAAGTAACTACCTGTATCGTGGTGGTCATATGGCTACGTCTGGCAAAATTTGCTTAAAAGGCGCAAGGAGCCAGGTTTAGAACCTTTTCTAGGACGTTTCGCGTCTACCAAGATGGCTTCCTTTCGTCAAGTTCATACTGTACTGTCTTTTTCATGAATGGTGGTTTCTTGTGATTATCACCTCGCACTACTAGGATGTGTGTAATCGAACTGAAAGATTTTATTATCTTCTTTGGCTTCTTTGCTTGCGAAACTGTCATTCGAGGTACGATACCCCCCCCCTCCCCCCCAGTGGCACAGCGGTAAGTCTGATTGAAGGCTTTAACGCTAAAGACAGGGTTTGCTGTTAACATAAAACGGACATGGCCCTGAAAAGGAAAGTACCAACAGAAATACATTACTCCATAACAAACCAGCCAAACATAAAAAACCTGAACCACAGAAAAAATCAACAACAACCGTACAGAAGGGAGGAAGAGGTCTACTTGAACCTGACCCTCCCAGGTCGAAAATGACCTAAATCCCGATCCGGAGAGAGGTGGAGGACAGGGTTTGAGTACTCGTTGTGGACAGTGCATTCTGTAGCTTTATGTTTAACTACAAACAAACCTCTTAACACATCAATTAATTTAAATTCGTACTTCATCAGATGTATCGAACCAATGCATTACACACATTCTAGAGTGAATTTTGTTTTTCTTTTTTTACCATAAGAAATTTGAGTATGAGCTTCTTGTAATAAACTCGTAAGTTTGTGATCGCTGTAAACGAGATTAAATGATACACAGTTATGCAACAAATGAGGAGCTTAAATGTCAGAAAAAATATCGACTCTAATCTAGATAAAACTAATACAGATATCATATGGATTGAATTAAAAAAACATCGACTCTAATCTAGATAAAACTAATACAGATATCATATGGATTGAATTAAAAAAACATCGACTCTAATCTAGATAAAACTAATACAGATATCATATGGATTGAATTAAAAAACATCGACTCTAATCTAGATAAAACTAATACAGATATCATATGGATTGAATTAAAAAAACGACTCTAATCTAGATAAAACTAATATAGATATCATATGGATTGAATTTAAAAAACTCGAAAGTACAACTGAAGAGTTGTGATTTTCGTTGTTGATTGAAATGTGTGGTTAGTTTTTCATTGTCCAATCTCATGCTCTGAATCTTGTGTTGATTTTTGTTTTTGACAGGCCAGGATTGAAGAGTTGGAAGAAGAACTCGAGGCTGAAAGACAGGCGAGGGCCAAAGTAAGTATTTCAGATTTATCTACTTAATTTAAAATAATACACAATAAGATTATTATTTTATAATGCACCAAATATCCAAAATATAAAATGATTTTAGTGTAAAACAAAAAATGGAATGCTGTACTAATTTTAGCTGACATCGTGTTTATTTATCTACTAGGCCGAAAAACAGAGAGCTGATCTAAGCCGTGAACTCGAAGAACTTAGTGAACGGTTAGATGAAGCTGGTGGCGCCACCGCTTCTCAGGTAAGTTCGTCGATAAGTTCTTGTAAATTTGTAAGTATTCGAAGACCGATACAAATAAATTAACGTTGTATGTACAATTTAAGAACTTTGCTAAACCACTTTTTGTGACGTATCATTGCTTTTATTAGAATGAATGATATTATATTTAATGAAACATATTTTTATTTTTGGCAGATTGAACTGAACAAGAAACGCGAAGCGGAACTTTCTAAACTTAAACGTGATCTTGAAGAGTCCAATGTCCAGCACGAACAGATCCTTGCTAATCTCAGGAAGAAACACAATGACTCTGTCTCTGAACTTAGTGAACAATTGGACCAGATGAACAAACAGAAAGCCAAGTAAGCTTTAGCTAATAATAATAATAAAGGCTAGTTTTATCAGATGTAGGAAGTTTATTTACCAGACTGTTTTAAACCTCATAGCATCGTTATAGGAGTTATAAGCTTAATATTCCGAAAATTATTTAATCACGAAGTCCAACTTCAAGGGAGGCCCAGTTCAATCTACACTTTGATCAATGTGTGTTACTGGGTTATACTAGTTTCGGAGAATTCCACTCTTCATCGGTAACCCTGAACACAAGTTAACCCCGAAGAGAGACAAGCTGGACCTATATCATAGTGAAAAGTATCAAACATATTGTTGGTGTGAACGTTCTTTGTTTTCACTATGAGAAAAACCGATACGCCAGATAGGTGATGAAAAAGTGTCATTGGCCACTATTCAGTTCTTCACATCATATTAGCCACACAATAACAGATATGATAAATAAACTTCTAATGAATACAAAGCACGTTCACACCAATAATATGTTTGATCGTTATAGGAATTACATAGTTTTCAGTAATTACTTCGTGGATACAAAATCTGGTACTGAAATTCGCGTTAAAGTTTCTTATGTTTCGTGAAATACTAATAAAAGTGTATTTTAACGTGGTTCGACTTACTTTGGTGAAATACTAGTAAAAGTGTATTTTAATGTGAAATACTAATAAAAGTGTATTTTAATGTGAAATACTAATAAAAGTGTATTTTAATGTGAAATACTAATAAAAGTGTATTTTAATGTGAAATACTAGTAAAAGTGTATTTTAATGTGAAATACTAATAAGAGTGTATTTTAATGTGAAATACTAATAAAAGTGTATTTTAATGTGAAATACTAATAAAAGTGTATTTTAGAGTGAAATACTAATAAAAGTGTATTTTAATGTGAAATACTAATAAAAGTGTATTTTAGAGTGAAATACTAATAAAAGTGTATTTTAATGTGAAATACTAATAAAAGTGTATTTTAGAGTGAAATACTAATAAAAGTGTATTTTAATGTGAAATACTAATAAGAGTGTATTTTAATGTGAAATACTAATAAGAGTGTATTTTAACGTATTTCGTATAATATTTTATTCTATTAACTTACTTTTTCTTTGTTCACATGGTCCAGACTGGAGCGCAAGTCGTCTAATTCGCCCTTCATTTGTGCCCTTTCTTTCTCCACCCTGAACAAAAACATCGAATTAACTTGAATCACGCATAAATTACATTCTACACGTTTATTTAATTATTGTAGTAACACAAATACGCATAAATTACATTTTACACGTTTATTTAATTATTGTAGTAACACAAATACGCATAAATTACATTCTACACGTTTAATTAATTATTCTAGTAACACTGATCTTTTTATTATATAAAAAAAAATCCCCCCAGTGGCACATCGGTATGTCTCCGAACTTACAACGCTAGAAACCGGGTTTCGATACCCGTGGTGGGAAAAACACAAATAACCCATCGTGCTTAACTTCAAACAAACTAAGTAATATATATATATATTTACTTTAGAATAAATAATTCATGGTTTCGTTCAAGTACTAGATTCAAATATTATAATTTATGTTTTAAAATAATGACAAAATAGATTGAATTATTTAATTCGTTTTGATTTAGGCTAATGCCGAGAAGAACACGAAACAAATGGAGGTCCAACTACAAGACGCACAATACAAGCTAGACGAGGCTAACCGTTCCATGGGCGACTTCGATGCTAACAAGAAGAAACTAAGTGCAGAATGTGGTGAGCTCCAGAGACAACTAGAAGAGGCAGAATCTCAAGTTAATCAGCTCGGTAAGATGAAGATGTCTCTCCAGACCCAGTTAGAAGAAGCCAAGAGGACAGCGGATGAGGAAAGCAGAGTGAGTTTGACACCAAACTTATTTACTACGTAGCATCTAGTATTTGTGATATAAGCTGTAGGGCGTTATAGTGACTGGTGATTTTTTTTTTACCAGTTTAACAGTGCAACTGATGTGTTAGCGTTTCTGAATATTGATGAAAATATGAGTTAAATTATGAGTAATAAATGGATAACAACTTAACATGCTGATGATTAACTTCCCTAAAGCTGAATAACGATCCATGTGGCTTCTTTGGAATCCTTCGACTGAGGCAACGTATTGTAAAAGAGAAATAACGTAACGCATGATGTAGGTAATCTTTTAGAACCACGAGGTAGTGATCTCACGAGCACTCGTTTTATTTCTTCTAGGAACGCGCTGCAGCGTTTGGTAAATGCAGGAACCTGGAACACGAATTGGACGGTCTGAGGGAGCAGTTAGAGGAGGAACAGGAGGCCAAGAACGATCTCCACAGGCAACTCAGCAAAGCTAACGCTGAAGTTCAACAATGGAGGAACAAATTCGAGAGTGAAGGTCTTGCTCGAGTGGAAGAACTGGAAGATGCCAAGTGAGTCTTCCACCAGTAATCATTTGTTTTATCATAGTAATTGTTTTAAAAGTGAATGCAGGCTCCGGCATGGCCAGGTGGTTAGGGCGCTCGACTTGTAATCTGTGGATCGAGGTTTCAAATCCCCGTCCCACCAAACATGCTCGCCCTTTCAGCCGTGGGGG